GGAGGAGGAGGAGGAGCTTTCTCTTCTCTGGAGAAGGGAAATTAAAGAAATTTTGGGGAAATAATTACCTACAATTGTCAAAAGTGCAGAATTATAACTAGCAACTAATGTTCACTAATGTTCTCTTGGCCTCCACCCACTTTACAGGCTTTCCTTAGATGTAGATATAATTCTTCCTTTTTGTTTTTTGTCAAAAACAGACTACGTGGGAGAAATGAAAATACTGGAATAATCATTCACATACTTTTACTTCCTTAAATTAAAATTTCGATTTTTCCCCAAGTTCTTTTAAATACTAAGCTTCATTTGAGATTAATCCCCTCTGTGTAGGGGGCCCAGTATTACTGCCCCCTCCTTCCCAAAGTAATACTCTAGCCGAAAGGAAGGATGAAGCAGTTGCTTGCAACTGCACGGTTGCCTGTTTCAGAAGATTACATTTATTCCTGTCCTCCTAACTGAACTTTTGCTTTGTGGCTTTGGGTGTCAAGCCCAGAAATAGATTTTCTACAGGACCTTTTCTAAATGGATCCTGCATTTCCTCGATAGCTTTTCTGCCCTGAGTGGGGACTGGTATCTTTCTGCTCAGAAACAGCCTCCACTCTACAAAAAGGAAACCCCATTCATGGTTCTTGAGAGGTTGAACTCCTTGGTAAAGGCTTATCTTTCCCCATCCTGGTCCACCAAGATCATCTTTGGATTGACAGGCACTTCCTGCTGTGGCAATCAGTAGGAACTCCATGGAAATATTCTGGGTTTATTCTTAGATCTCTTGGGGTTTTTAATCAGCTCAAAGCAGTACTGCATCGTTACGAGTCAAGTGACTAAAATAAGACAGGCACGAAGTGGACAGCCAAAGTTCACAGCTTGGCATATGAAGAAGTATTTCCAGCCATGGTGCCTTAATAGGGTGGACAGGGGAGGGAAGTATCTAGTCTCAGTAATTAAGGAAAAAGTTGAGTATAGTTTCTGAAAGTTGAAATACCAGAAGAAGACTGGGAACTAATAATAATAATAATAATAATAATAATAATAATAATAATAATAATAATAATAATAATAATAATAATAATAATAATAATAATAATAAAGTTAGAAGGGACCTTGGAGGTCATCAAGTCCAACCCCCTGATCAGAAAGGTAACCCTATATCATTTCGGACAAATGGCTGTCCAGTCTCTTCTTAAAAACTTCCAGTGTTGGAGCATTCACCGCTTCTGGAGGCAGGTTGTTCCAGTGATTAATTGTTCTAACTGTCAGGAAGTTTCTCCTTAGTTCTAGGTTGCTTCTCTCCTTGATTAGTTTCCATCCGTTTCTTCTTATCCTACCTTCAGGTGCTTTGGAAAATAGCTTGACTCCCTCTTCTTTGTGGCAGCCCCTGAGATATTGGAACACTGCTATCATGTCCCCCCTCGTCCTTCTCTTCATTAAACTACTAGACATACCCAATTCCAGCAACCGTTCCTTATATGTTTTAGCCTCCAGTCCCCTAATCATCTTTGTTGCTCTTCTCTGTACTGTTTCTAGAGTCTCAACATCTTTTTTACATCGTGGTGACCAAAACTGGATGCAGTATTCAAAGTGTGACCTTACCTAGGCATTGTAAAGTGGTATTAATACTTCACGTGATCTTAATTCTATCCCTCTGTTAATGCAGCCTAGCACTGTGTTGGCTTTTTTGGCACCTGCAGCACACTGCTGGCTCATATTTAAGTGATTGTCCACTAGGACTCCGAGATCCCTCTCACAGTTACTACTACTCACAGTTACTACTAAGTCCAACAGCCTGCACCTGTCTTCACAGTGAAGGGACCCAGGGCTGAAAACATCCTGCAGCCAAGAAGGCTCCACACCCATTTGCACTACTCTGGTGATCCTGAGGATACAGGAAAACCTCCAATGGCCTCAACGACTCTCCAAAAGAATGCAAATGACCAGCTGTCTGCAAGGAGTACAAATCCTTCCATTCCCCACCAACCAGTCAGAGCTGAAGAAGCTTCTTGGATGAGAAGTGAAATGTCTTCAGAGAAAAACAAAACAAGTCCAGTTGCCTCCTGAAAAAAACATCTTTGGGACAATCATGATCTGGATGACTGAGAATCTCCATCGACAAGACTGGGAAAGATATTTCAGTGGCTAAAGACTCACAATCTACTCTAATTTGTGCAAGAAATTCTTATAATTTACCCTCTAAATGTACACAATAAGTCCTCATAATCCATTATCATTTATCCAGGAAATAATCACCATTTCTTATAATTGCCAAAATTATCACAGGAAATCATATCTTATTACAATTACCCAAATTGTAACGTATTATAATTTATTCCTAAATTAATATACTTTGTCCAGGAAATTATTACAGTTTAGTGAGGAAATTACCATCGTTTTACACAGGTTAGAGTTGGGGTTAGAATAAGAAGGGTTTGTATCCAGGAGTAACATTGACTTGAGAGTGAAATTACAGTTTGGACCTGAAGATGGCAGTCTCCGCCAGGAAACTCTCTAGTTCAGTGTTTCTCAACCTTGACCATTTTAAGGCATGTGGACTTCAACTCCCAGAATTCCACAGCCAGCATTGTGAACCGGCCATTTTGTGAACCGGCCAATATTCTTTGCAATATTTTCAAGCTGCTTTTCTAGCTCAGTGGTGCTAGCAGTTAAATATTGAAGCTAGCAATAATCATTGATAAATGGCACAGAACAACTCTTTCGGAGATATTACCCAGGAGTGTGGGAATCAGACAAAACTTGGACAATTTCACCATCCCAACTGAATCCATTTGGAAAGAGACGTCCGTGTGCCTGGAGAGGAATTATTTAAATTGTGCCTCTCACTTGATTCTGCACTTGAGTTTGATAGGCTGATTTCTTTTAGAAATCCTATTTGGTTTGTAGATTCACTTGAACTGCCTGTAAATTGTAGCTGGAAACTGTGTATCTGCATACCTGGAATATTTTCCACGAGACATGAAAAATGGAGGAACACGTGCCCCCCCCCATCTAGTTGCTATACATATTAAACCTACAATTCAGTCTTGCAAGGTGGTATTATAAACAAGTATGAAATATTAACCACTAACCTCTCTTTTGATGGAGTTTATTAAATTGCTGTGTACCCATCATTCTTCCTGTCTTGGTCTGGGAGTGGAGAAATTATATTATTTTTATTTGCAGATTACTTGCAAAACCTGTGCATTTGTGTGTGTTTGTGTGTGTGTGTGTGTGTGTGTGTGTAGATGAGAGAGAGACAGAGACAGATGGATAGAGATAATAGATAGAAATAGATAGAAGAGATAGGTAGGTAGGTAGGTAGGTAGGTAGGTAGGTAGGTAGGTAGGTAGGTAGGTAGGTAGGTAGATAGATAGATAGATAGATAGATAGATAGATAGATAGATAGATAGATAGATAGATAGATAGATAGATAGATTGATTGATTGATTGATTGAGAATGAAAAAGTCAGTTAAAATTTCTTCTTGCTCAATTCTCTTTTAAAGGGTTTAACTGGCATTCATGAGTCTAATTGGTAAGGTTGCAGCAAACGCCCACAGAAAGACAAAATGAATGCCGCCTTTCCAGTTGTTTGGCAACATGTGGATTAAATACGCAAAACTAAAGTCAGTAGCAGAGATCACGTTGCAGCCTGGGAGCTCCTGGCTTCCTTCCGAACATTTGCATCCTGTTCGTTTCCCACACTTCTTTGAATACATCTCTCTGTTTTCTGCATCCTGACCAAATCTCAGAAGGCCAAATCTATTTGTATCTGATCAGTCACCTCATGGGAGGAAGGGAAAAACAGATTTCATGACATTATATAGAAGAAGAGAGAGACAGTCCGGTGTAGTAGTTAAGGCACCCAGAAACTGGGAGACTGTGAATTTTGGCTTGGACTTTGGCACAAAGCTAACTGGGTGGGCTACTCTCTCTCTCTCTCTCTCTCTCTCTCTCTCTCTCTCTCTTCTTTCTCTCTTCTCTCTCTCTTTTCTCTCCCTCTCTTTCTTCTCTCTCTTCTTTCTTCTCTCTCTCTTTCTTTCCTGCCCTAGGAAGTGGGCAATAGCAAGCCATTACTGAAATCTTTCTAAAAAAATATAGGAACTTATCCAGGCAATTACTAGGAATCAACCCTGATTTGAAGGGAGGAGGAGGAGGAGGAGGAGGAGGAGGAGGAGGAGGAGGATCAGAGCCAGTCTTACAATTATCATTGTTGAGTCACTTGTCTCATTGAAAGGGACCCAAATCCTTTAAGCTCATTTTATCAGAAATACAAGTAAACCATATTTTAATCCTAGTTTCACCCTTTCCCGTAGCCTCTGCTTTCTCCTATTTCACATGGGGCAATTGAAATTCTGTATGTTTGTATCATAAAGTAAAATCTTACTTGAATTTATCTTGGTGATTTCAAGGAGACAGCCGTGTCGTTTTATTAATTTGCTACTGCCTTCCTCTTTGGATTTTTTTTTTTTTAACTTCTTAATCTAACCCAGAGCATTTCTCGTCATTTCACAGCCAAGAACTAACCAAGTCTAGATCTGCTTTCCATTTTTTAAAAATCAGTCAAAACTGGCTAAGATCCACTGTGACTGCATCCTGAATATAGTTTTCCACATAAGGAAACATTTACGTTTACGCAGTAGTGCTGTCATGATAATTATTTAATTTTGAATTCACTTATTTATCCAGCAGCCAACAACAAATTTTCCACTTTCTCCCCATTACTCAAGACATAGAATCTTTTTCTCGGTAATAAATATTACAGTGTAAGTCCTATCGACACATTATATGATATTTGGGGAACTGCTACTTCGTAGTCTTTTCTGATTGGATTACGATTGCTATGATCAACAAACAAACCAGTTCATTTTTTTTTCCCCAACAGAAAATAATTAGGTATTCTTGGCACTTCCCAGGCACATCAAAAAGTAAGCACACACGAGTCCCAGAGGACAACAAAGTCACATTTTTGTCTCACTGGATTCACTAACTTCGTGGGACAAAAAGGCAGGATTGTCATATCCCATCTTTGCCTTGGCTTTAGCATCCTTCTCATTGTAGAGGCAAAAGGCACAATGTGGCGTTTCCACTTCTACAGTTTTGCTGAAGTTGTGAAAGTCCACCCTGTATTTCCCTTCTTTGGTTTTAGAAACAATGGGGGCAAAACGATAGCCCCACAGGACCTCTTCAGCAATGTAAGATGTCCGGACTTGGCAAGTTGCACTGGTGGATTCTACGGTCCCGTCCAGAAACACCACCAGCTCAAAGTCATGTTGAAGGAGGGTGTCCGCTGACATGTGAAAGAAGGGGCTGTGCTTGTCGATGACATGGTAAATTGTCAAGGGGGAGATGAAGAAGAGGTTTTCATTGCCAGCATCCACCATGAAATTGATGTTGACTTGATCCAAGATGATCGTCTCTCCTTCAGGGGTGATGGTGGTCTTCAAGAGTTTGCCATAGATATGACTTCCGATCAGCAGGCTTTTCCTGAGGTTGGCCACCCGGATGAGAAGACACAGTTTTCCACCTCGTTTACTAATCACAGCATTTTTGCTAAAGGTGATAGTTTTTGCTCTCTTTTTGGGTCTGGAGATTTTGGCCAAAATGGCCCCACACATGAAGGAGTTTATGATAACTCCTAGGATAGATTGGAAGATGAGAAGAAAAATGGCTGTGGCACACTGTTCCGTAACACACCTGAACCCGTAGCCAATCGTGACCTGGGTCTCCAGGGAGAAGAGGAAAGCTGAAGTCAAGCCATTGATATTATCTACACATGGCGTGTGATTTATAGAAGGGCTGAACTCTGGCAGATCTTTATGGATATAGGCTACTACATACCAAAGAAGACCAAAAAGGAACCAGCTGCCCAAGAAAGCTGAAATAAAGATGGTCATTTTGTACCTCCACCTGAGATCCAGGATGGTGGTCCAGATGTCGATCAAGCAAACAAATCTTGACTGTTCTTCAACATTCCCAAATTCTATGTTACACCTTCCATCTTTGGACACCAGGCGTGACCTTCGTCTCTTGCATTCGACCCAATGCTGTGTGAAATGTTTCTGGAAGTATTTAAACATTCCCAGCAGTCACTCTGGATTAAAGGAGAAACGGGAGAATTATTACAATGTCTGGTAAGCGTTTTTCTTTTCTTAACGAATTTATCCGTGTGGAAAAGACTCCAGTCGACTCTGAGTTATGGGACAGCCTAAGGATGCATTCCAAAGTGGTACTTAACTCTGGTAGGTAAGACTAATGGCTTAAATTCTACCTCATGACTGTCCTTCAGAGCAGCTAGCAGTGTATTTTCTCCACTTTCATGCCGGAACCAATAAAAGTTACAAGAAGCTCTTACAGTAGCACAGTTACCACTAGCGAGTTGATAAGTACTTCGTTTGTGATTGCTCAGTGTAGATTTGACCGTGTTGGCTGTGTGTGAATGCATGAATTAACTCTGCAGAAAGAAAACCTCTCGTGGCATGAGAAATGATAGAGAAATTTAACCTGTGGTGCATTATGACCTATTTCAAGATGCAAAATGTCACGGGATGATGGGCAAAGGGCCAAGGGAGGAATGCGCATGTATAAATCAGGGCTCAGTGACGCTACCATCACACTGGAGCTTTCTGCAAATGTTCTGCTTAGATGTTTCTGCAAATGTTCTGCTTTGTGACTCAAGCAAGTGCTAAGCCCAAACCCTGTCATGGTTCTGCTTTAGAGACATATGGGGAAGGTTTGGAATGCCTCCCAATTGGGAAAACAACCATGGACTTTGAAAGCACAAAACATGACATTGTCACTAGGGTATGAAAACAGAACTGGAGGTCTCTTCTCCAAGTTGAAGGCACCAAGTATCTTCTGCCATTTGAAGAAATGCAGCATCACATATGTGTTACTCTTGAAAGTGACCCAAAACTCATGGCTCCTTTGAGGCTGAACATTCATCCGGAAAGTTGTCTGACCTGGATATAGAAGATGAACCTATTTTGTTTCTCACACACAATGCTATAATTCATGGTGCAGAGCAAGAAACTGCTTTTTACGGGCTGGGGAGACAGAGGTTCACCTTATGCGTTCCTACGATATGGAAGACCTTGATTATGAGAGTGGCATGCAGCATTCAGACACACATACCAAAGCACCCAAGACATATGATCCTGGAGCGCTTCAATTCACGAGGAGGGACTATGTGAGAAGTGTTGTTGCCTAAGCAATACAAGGAAGGAATCCCTTCTGTTTGCCACTCAACACAAAGGACAAATTAGGTTGCTTCTATTCAGACCATGTTTCTATTTCGCCTGGGTTTTAATTTTCATTGGTATTGGATTAGGGGTAAAAAAAACGAAACAAAAGCACCACCAAATACCAGAACTTGTTTTGTTTTTTTTGCAGAAGAAATGAATATACAATTGCAAAACAGGGCAGGTATCCAGGTACTTTTGCTGCAACATTTCTAATAAAAACAAGAAATTTGTTCAAAACTCTTCACTTGCTTGTTTCCCCCCCCCCTTTTTTTTTTTTTGATGCCTTCCAGTCAATGTTGACTCCTGGTGACTGCCAGGACAAATCCCTGCAGTTTTCTTGGCAGGGTTTCAGAAGTGGTCCGTCCTTGCCTTCTTCTTTCAGGGGATGAGAGAGAAGGACTGGCCCAAAGTCAGCTCAGCTGGCTTCGAGCCCAAGGCAGGCCTGATCTCCCGGTTTCTAGCTTGGTGTCTTCGCCACTATCCCAAACCGGCTCTCCCTTGCATTATCAGGATACATTTTTTTTCAGGCAAACCACATCCATCAGGACGGTCGCCTTTCAGTTTTTCAGGGGTGAGATTGAGAAAGAGTAGCTTGCTTAAGCCTGTTGAGTGGGGGTCATGGTGAAAGAACAACTCAGGCTTCCCAGAGGCAAGTTCAGCATCTTGACCACATGATATGCATGTGAGCCAAGCCTGGGAATTGTTGGTCACCTCATTCATTCATTCATTCATTCATTCATTCATTCATTCATTCATTCATTCATTCATTCATTCAATTGTATTTACAATGATCAACCACTCTCAAAGACTCTGGGCAGCTATACATATTAAGCAGCGGTGGGATTCAAATATGGGAACAACCGGTTCTCTGTGTGGATGCCGCTTCTGGAAGTCCGTTCTGGGCCTGGGCAACAAAAAATTAGCTACCGGTTCTGCCAAACTGGTACGAACCGGCTGAATCCCACTACTGATATTAAGGCTCTACTACTGCATCAAGAGCCCGCTCTCAGCTGCTCTCTTATAACTCTAAACTGCTAACTTTATCTTGAATTTTGGGCTGCAGGCAACGGGGAGAAGGATAGGAGACTGGCATCTCCCAGCGTTTAGGAGAGGACAGCTTCAGAGTGCTTACTTCAGAGATTCCCGTTGGAAGGCCGTGGCAGAGACGATCCTACATCACCCTTTACCCCTAGATTTAATTCGCGTAATGATTGGTTTGGCTTAACATGTGGGAATCCAGCTATTATGGATCTTAGACCATCCGCAAATTAAACAAGCAGTGGTTAAAGTATTATGCCAGAATCCTTGTAAAAGGGAAGGAAGGAAGGAAGGAAGGAAGGAAGGAAGGAAGGAAGGAAGGAAGGAAGGAAGGAAGGAAGGAAGGAAGGAGAAGGGAGGGGAGAGGAACAGTAACTTCCATTTATAATCTCTAGAAGATGTATTGTGGGTAATGATTTGTTGCCCTCCCTCCCCTTTCCCTTAACAACTTGCAGAAATAGGGTAGTGAAATATGCAGTGTGACATCTTATCACCAACGCATTTGAACAAGATTGGAGCTTACGAGATCCCATCACAGCCCTGTTGCTTATCTCCTTCTTCCTAACATCAGCTCCAGGCATGGCTTCCCTTCAAAGAGGGGATTCTACTCCAGAAAGTGCTGTCATCTTACTTTCTTTCCCAACAGAAATTCCCCATTTTGGTGCTACTGGGCAGGCTCAGGCTTTATAACCCCGGATGAAGCTGAGTGGCCTTCCAAATTTGCTTATTTCTAAAGAATCCGGGGGAGAAGAGGGCACTTCTAACGAACCTCTGCTGATCCTTCCTCATTTTTCCCTGTTCTTCTGTCTCTCTCTCTCTCTCTCTCTCTCTCTCTCTCTCTCTCACTCACTCACTCACTCACTCACTCACTCACTCTTTCTCGCCCTCTTCTCTCCCTTCTTTCTCTTTCTCATTCTTTCTCCTCTCTTTCTCTCTTTATTTCCTCTCTCTCTTCTCTCTCCTCTCTCCTCTCTCTCACACTCTTTCTCTTCTTTCTATTTCTTTCACTTACTTTCTCTCTTTTCTCTCTTCTTTCTCACTCTTTCTCTCTTTTCTCTCCTCTCTCGCTCATTCACTTTCTCTTCTTTCTATTTCTCTCTCTCTCTCTCTCTCTCTCTCTCTCTCTCTCTCTCTCTCTCTCTCTCTCTCTCTGCCTTTATGTGTTGGAGTCAGCTGTTAGAAACATGAAAAGATAGCAGATACCAGAGGATGTATTTTACTCTACCGTAGTCCATCCCATCCCGTCCTTCCCTCTAATCTTTCAGCAACAACTTTGAACATGACCCTGAAAGTCACAAGAGAAAACGCACCTAACATTTATTATTGGGCAACACACATGAAACACGCACTAGCTACCCAACAGTGCCGATTTCCATGTCTGCAGCCAGCTGCAAAAGGCCCTATAGGCATTCTTGTCCTGACTTATTCTGCTGCTGATGGTCAACAGCGAGAGTCCAGTTAAACTTTAAGCAGGTTCCCCGGAAAGGGCACAAGGTCATTTCTCCTCAATTTTGCCTCCTTACATTCCCTTAATCTGTTTGCCTCGAGAAAAACACACACACACACAACCAGAGATCCAAAGAAAAGCTCTGGATTTAATAGACCATTTGTAGTAATTTTCCAGGGTTTAAGTTCTCGTTTCTCCTTATTGCTTTCCGTTCTTCAAGTCTCAGAGGTGAAAACCTTTCACGTTCTCCTTTGCGTCACTTGTGCTGGGCCATCCCAGTCCTGTTTTATGGCTTTCATTTAGAGGACACCCCCTCTCTGCCACCCCCAAGGGAGCAGAAATGTTAAAGCAGAGGGCAAGTAAAACAAACTTTCACCATTGTGTTTCTTCCCTTTTTTCCTCCAAACAACTGACCACGAAATTCAATATTTTCAAATTTAAGGAAGAAGGAAGGGTCTCTCTAAACCAGGGCTTTTCAACCTTTTCATCCATTGTGCCACTTTTAGGATATGGCAACATCCGAGTACCACCAGTCGCCTAGCAAGGTGTCAAAAACTTGATGACCAAAAAAAAAGTGATAAAGTACAGGTAGTCCTCGACTTATAACAGTTCGCTTAGTGACTGTTCGAAGTTACAATGGCACTGAAAAAAGTGCCCCCCAAGCCACAGCCGAGCAAGACACCTGTCTGCCCGCCCGGCTGCGTTCTTCCTCCTGTCCGAGGTTTTCATTGTTGTGAGCATTTCTGTTGAGGATTGGCAGCGGGGGTGGGTGGGGGGGTTGTTTGGTTTTTATTCCCCCCGTCTGCTGGGTGGTTGCAGCAGGTTTTGGTCACTTCACATGACCCTGGGACACTGTGACCGTCATAAATATGAATCAGTTGCCAAGCATCTGAATGTAAATCACAAGTCCCTGGAGATGCTGCAACATTCCAGCTGATCGGCGCTTCTTCTGGGCTCAGCAGAAGCACCAGGATCAGTGCTGCTTTCCAGCTGATCGGCGCTTCTTCAGGGCTCAGCAGAAGCACCAGGATCAGCGCCGAGCTCCATCTGGAGCCTGGCACTGATCCTGGCGCTTCCACTGAGCCCTGACAGCCCCAAAGAAGCGCCGATCAGCTGGAAAGCGGCACTGATCCTGGCGCTTCTGCTGAGTCCTGACAGCCCTGCAGCTCCAACCGTCTCTCGCTCAGGCTTGTGCGGTGCTGCCACCAGTTCAGCTCATTCCCCTCCCCCGCTACTTTTCTAGGATGGTCACATACCACCTGCCAGGTGCCAATGTACCACAGGTGGTACCCGTACCACTGGTTGAAAAGCCCTGCTCTAAACCACCATGTGCATGGAGTCATGTAACAATGTGGGTAGAATGTC